CAGCCGCCGCCGCTGCCGCCGCCGCCTGCCGTGGACTTCTCGGACGCGCGGGAGGCGTTCCGGAGCAAGAGCAGCGCCGAGCTGGCGCGCGGGCTCCTGGTGCTGCGCCTGTGCGCCATCGGGCCGCTGGTGGAGCGCGCCGAGCAGGTAGGCGCCGAGCCGCGAGGAAGAGCCCCGGCCCGGGGGTGGGGGGGGAGCGGCCGGTCCCGCCGAGGCGGGCTGCGCCGGGGGCGCTGGCTGCCTGCTGCCTGTGCCGCGCGGCTGGGTTGCCCTTGGGACGGGGCTCCGCGCTCGCGGGACGCCGCTTCTGCCCTCCCGCCGCGGTGTAGCCCCCGCCGCCCGCCCCTCTTGCGCCGTGCCCGCGAAGAGCCCGAGCGGAGCGATCCCTTCCGACCCTTCCCCATCCCTCCTTCCCCGCTTTATCGAACTCAGTTCAGTGCAGAGTCCGCGGGTAAGAGAGAAAAGGGCTTGCGCGTGTATTTATATGTATGCATCTAAAGCCCGTTTGTGTTGTCCTTCCATTCAACACGGCAAGCCTGGGGGGGTTTCCTCTCGTGACTTCCAGGTAGGGCTGTGGGGAAAGATGAGGCTCTCGAATCGCCAGCACTCCCCCCCGCCCGCCCCCCACTCTGGATCACCGGGATGCGCCCGCTGGCACTGAGCTCTCCATGGTGAGAGTGTGCTTGAGGGGGCCTCCGGCCTGCTGCCCTTTGCATCCCCCTGGGGAGGGGGTCTGGTGCAGCAGAATTTTCCTCATTCTGGCCCCCTGAGCAAGCAACAGCGCAAGCCATCCACAGAAGCATTTGGAGAAAAGTTTTCGGGGCTCGTGATGAGCAGCCGAGGGACTGGGTGGGCTGAGATCATGCATTCCTGAAATTCTGGAAATGCTTCCTGAGCAGTTCTGGAGAAATGCTGCCTCCACATTCACTTTCGTTTTGGAAAGCGAAAGGAATAGAAGCATGTCTGCCATTTCTTCTCCCCGCCTCCGCTGTGGCCACAGCCCTGAGGTCTCTGGTGAGTCGCCCAGGGTGTGGAAGGGCCCTTAAGGCCAGCTGCCCGCCTTGTCTCCCTGGGGAGGTGCATGTGGGGAGAAAGCGCTTGACTGGCAGCCTGGTTCTGTGACCCCGCAGTTGATGCATCTCAGCCAGAAGCTCCTGGGCCGCCGGCTCTTTGAGGCGCTGATGAAGCTGACCTTCTACGGGCAGTTCGTGGCTGGGGAAGACCAAGAAGCCATCAAGCCCCTCATCCAGCACAACCGTGCCTACGGGGTGGGCTCTGTGCTAGACTACAGCGTGGAGGAGGATCTGACCACCGAAGAGGCTGAGAAGAAGGAAATGGAGTAAGTGGCCTCTGCAGCTTGGCTGGAGGGTTGCCCAGCCTCCCCCGACCTGGCGCGGCGCACTGGGCTGCTGGTTTGGGGGCCGGCTTTTCCTTCACCGCATCGCATGGGAATGCAGCGTGTTTTGGGGGGAGGGACAAAGGTCCTCACTTACGCAGTTCCCCAGTGAGCAAGTGGTGGCCTGGTTTTGCGCAATAGGGAATGTCAGCTGGTTTACACCCGGTTCTCCTTCCACGCCTCCAGCTTGTGCTGGACGGAACGCAGGGTGGCTGGCCTGGCTTATCACAACAGCTCCTTGCTTGCGGCAGCTGAATCTGGCCGGAACTAGCAAGGAGAAAAACCAGTTTGAGGGCTATCGGGCCATAAGGGCACAGACTGGCGAGGGAGCGGTGGACAGGAATTTGGGGTGATGCAAGCGCTGCCGGAGCAGTGGCCTTGCAGGAGAAATGTTGCCGCTGTGTGTCATGGTCAAGCTCATACTTGGCCTTCCTGGCCTCCTTCATTGCAGTATCTGCCACCTCTTCCTTTCCATCTAGTCATCAGCTCTCGGGTGGCATGGATGAGGCCACTGACCAAGTCCACTGGAACTTAGTCCATATCTTGGCGTGGCATCCCAGGGGTGCTCACATGGGAATTTTCAGCTGGTTTGTTGTGGAAATGCACAGGCACACGAGCCCCGAGGGTGTCATCTGGGAGAGTCGGGCATCCCAGACCTCCGTGCTCAGGGTTCCTCGAGTGAAGGGGAAGGCGCCAGTGCCACTCGTTGTTCCCAGTGCGCACGCTGGGAAAGGTCAAGTGGGAAAGCGCCAGGCCTCCGTCCCTTGGGCCGCCTCTCACAGTCTGTCGCGCACTCCTGCTGCGATTCCGCGCCACTGGTTCTGCCAGGAAACAGTCCTTCAGGGAGCAGCCCTGTGCATGATTCCTACAGGGGCCCCCCCCCCCCCCCAGCATTTCCCAGCCAGCTGCCCTGGGAGCTGAAGGACTCCTCTGACTAAGCATGCGCAGGGGCTCGCCCTTAGAGAACTTGGGCGGAAATCATGTGCCACATCCCCATCCCAGTTCCTTCACTGCTAAACCCACTGTGGCTAGGGGTGATGGGAGTTGTAGTCCAGTGCATCGGCAGGTCCCCAGCTTGGGGAGGGCTGCCATACGTGGCACTGATGGCCCTGCCCTGACAGGCTCAATGCCAGTGTGGGGAAGCGGCAGGTGCCGTGCGAGCCCGTGGTCCTGCCCGATGTGGCGCTGGGCCACTGGTCTGTGTGGGCTGGGGGGCTCTTGCCTGGGGGGGGGTAGTGCTTCCTGGGACCCTCGGCCCGAAGGTGCTGGGGACCGCGTCTGCAGGGATGCCCCCGCGAGGGATGCTGCAGCCGCCCCTTCGCTCTCTGCGGGGAGCGCCCAGTGCCGGCGGCCTCGGCTGCCTGCTGCACAACGGCAAGTGTTGCGTGCCTCGTGTCAAACCTGTGCTGTGTGTGTGCTTCCCAGACCTCGAAGGGAGTTTATGGGAAGCTGCCCGGGGTGGTGTGTGTACGCCTTCTGCAGGACGGGGCGCAACCTGTCCTGCGTCACAAGGCAGATTGTCCGCTTTGGCTGGTACACAATGTGCAACTTGTGACTGCCAAAAAAGGGAAACCGCCCAAACACGGAAGTGCTCTGATTAGCCCAGGGAGACCTTCCCCTCCAGCCTGAGTGGCTGCTGGGGAGGCAGGTCTCTTGCGCAAACAGGACAGCTGCCAGCAAGCGGAAGCCTGTCTCTCCGCGGGATGCCTTTATCAGCAGAGCTGCCAGGCCGCCTCCTGCCAGCTCGAGGAGCCACTCGCTGCTCTGACCTTAATAGCTGCCTGAATAGAATGAGGCCTTTTCCTCACTCTGTGTTTTCTGCTGGCAGCTCTTGGGTGGCTCTGGACGCTTTGGCTGGCACTTCAGGGAGTCCCTGTGGGAAAACGTTTGAAGGATCCTGGGCTGCAGAGCGAACTCTTTCTCTTCTGCACACCTGCTTCCTGCCCCGCAAGGGGCACTTCACTCAGGCTTCTGTCCAGGAATGCTGGACTGGGCATTTTGCTGAGTAGACCAGAGGAGTTAGCCTGCAGTGCTGACCCACCCAGAGGCCCACGGCTGGAGGAGGTTGGAGTCCTTCTGGCTCCCGGTCCGGATAAGGACACCCCTCAAAACTGAAAGAGCTTTACGTGCACCCACGTTGGAGCCTCCTCAATCATAAATAATACCAAAGAAAGCAGGGTTGGCCCAAGGACTGTCCCGAGTCCGGTGGGCTGGACTGGGGAGCGGCACTCCAGTCCCCTGGAGGGCACCAGGTTGGCAAAGGCTGGTCCAGCAAAGCAGCAGCAGCTCTGCGGTGGCTCAGCCTGGTGTCTGTCCCAGGCGTGCTGGAGGCTGTGTTTTGGCTGGGGTCGCCCACCGAATTCCTCCTCAGCACGTAGTTGTGCCACTGCTGGTGTGATTGCGGCATGCGGCGGATCATCAGGGCCGCCCCTCCCTTCCCCCCGCCTCCCCGTCCCCTCTTCCATTCTGCTTAGGCGCATGTTTACAAGCTCACCTGCTCGCTAATCCATGTCACAGGACTTCCTTGCGCGAATTGGGTCGCTCCAACTGCTGAAAGAGGGCTCATGTTGCAGGCACCTGTTCCCGGTCCCGGCGGCACCTGCTCTGTCCCGGCTAACTTGAGTCCCTTTAACCCTTTGCTGCTGCAGCTGCCGCTTGGTCTTTTGCCCATCTCTTGCATTCCTTTCCATTTTGGTCCCGCATGCAGCAAATCCTGGCGCTACCACACACGGCTTCCGGGAGCATCTGCACCTTTGACAGAGCTTCTGCCTCGGTGCTCGAGCGGAGCCTGTTGGTGGCAGCATCATATTAGTAATATGATTTCTTTCATTGCTGTACTACCTGTAGCCAAAACTCTCCGGCTTGCAGAAAACTTGGCTGCAAGACCCAGATCCCTTGCATAACACCTAGGGATGCACAGGTGTTATTAAATCCACTCACCTGTATTTCACACCTTCTGGATCATCTTTTGTCAAGCACTGATGAAATTAGAATTTTTTCAGGAGTGAATAAGAATTTTGTTTCCATTTGCTGAATTTATTTTAGTACAAGTGTGGATTCACATAAATCCTCCCTAACATTTTAATGGTTTACAAGTCCATAGAAACTCTGCGAGGCATAAGTCAGTCTGCTGCAGAATGTGCAAGTCAGATTCATAAAAACCTGAGCTGCTTTGAATCCGTTATGGCTTTCCTCAGTATTCATTAGTAAACATTCATTTTAACGATGTTTCATGTCTCAACTATGGGGTAATCTGCACAGCAGAGTTAGCAGAACAAGGGTCCCACCATTTCTGAATGCAGGTGCGAAGTTTCCCCTAGGTCAAGGACAGGGAATGTGTGACAGCAACTCCTACCATCCCATTGGCTAGGGCTGATGGGAATTGAAGTCCAGCAATCACTGGAGCACCACAGGTCAACCCTATCCCTTCCCTGAGGTTTTTAAGCCCTTGCTGTAAGTGGAGAGCAGGTTCAGGAGGGAGTGGGGTGGCGTGGAGCTTCTTTCCGGAAGGGTCGTGTGGGCTGCTGGAAGGGCGAGGCAGCAGGGTCAGCGGCCTCCTTTCCCGTGAGATGGCCAGGCCGCCTCCTGCTGGTCTTTTCTGCAAGCCGTGGGCTGCCTCTGTGCTGGGTCAGCTGTCCGGGGGGCTCACGCAGGGGCATGCGGGGGTCGCGGGGGTGGCATCCACTGCGACGTGGAAGGGCAGTGACCAAGGCTTGTGCGCGTTTTCTTTCCAGCTCCTGCACCTCCGCATTTGAGAAGGAGACAGGCAGTAAGTGCAGAAGCGCGCGAGTTTGCAGTCTGCCCTGGAACCTGCCCTGCCTCTTCCCCACCACCAGCCTTGGCTTTCCAGACTGTCCCCATCCCAGTGTGTTACTCTGCTTTTTATTCTTGCGGAACACATCCATGGCCAGCAAAACGTAAATGGAGCCCCCTCCCCTCCCCACCCCTCCCGCATTGCCTTTGAAACAGAGGCTCAGGGCCAGCTGCACAGCTTTGGCTGTAGGGCAGTAAAGAAATGAGATGAATACAGATAGGCTGCCGGGAGCCGCCTTCCGCGTGGGAACTGGCCCAGGGGGTGGCCTGCTCCTCCTGTGCAGGGGCTGAGTTCACGTGGGGGCAGTTCTGGCTCTGCTGTAGGTCAGAGGGTGCCCTGTGCTTGGCCAGGCCCCTGAGACGAGCAGCGACTGCCGTCGTCGTCTTCTGTGCCTTGACCCAAGTGCTGGTCCAAACTGGGACAGAGGGTCTGAGCTCTCCCGCAATCTTGATCGCCACAGAGGCAGCTCCACCGCAGGGACAGGGAAGCTGCGCACAAGCGGGTTCGCCTAGTCAACCTCAAGGTGGGCTAAGGAGAGTGCGGCCCCTTCAGAGGGCTTCCTGGGCCTCCCGTCAGGACTAGCAGCTTGCATCGTGTGCTGTGGCAGGTGGGAGCGCTGGGCTGGGACAGGCCCCTCACCTGCCACCCACCTGGGTCTCTTGCAGAGCAACGGGAGAAACGCTACAGCGTGCATCGCAAGTTTGGCGACCGCCGGGATGGGGTCATCAGTGCCCGTACCTACTTCTATGCGGATGAAGCCAAGTGCGACCGGCACATGGAGACGTTCCTGAAATGCATCGAAGCCTCAGGTAGGCAGGGAGCCCCTCCAGGAAGCCCCCCCCCCAGGTGCCAGCCCCTTCCAAAGTGCTGCGTCAGCAGCTGCATCCGGCCAGAGCCCTCCAAGGTGCACTCTTCGCCCGAGGGTGCCGGGGCATTCTCCCAGCTGCCCTCCAAGCAGCGCGGGGCCTCTTTCGGCCTAGGCTGGACTTGGGTTCAGACACGCTCTTGGGGCCACGTGCTGGGGGTGGGGGGGCAGAAATGCCTGAATTGTCAAACACTAGCATACTGTAATTTAAAGCTGTTAATGATGGCGTGTGGGGGCGAGGGAAGCTACAAGACCCCCAGAAACCACTGAAAAATTGGGGTGATGAGCGGTCGGGGAAAGCCTGTCCTGAGGCTGCTGCTCTTCGGGGACCTCCAGTGGCCCATATTTTGTGCCCAGGAGACTGGGCATGGCCCCCGGGCCGGTGGGGCCCAGCTCTGCCTAGGGGTTCTGGGGCCAGTGCAGGCCTTGCAGGGCGCTGTCCACCCAAAGCGCAACTACGGGCCCAGGGGCTCCGAGCCAGAATTTCGCCCTCTCTCCGCAGCCTGGCTTCATGCCGAGTGCGAGGCCCCTACTGAAACGAGTGCAAATCTGTGCCTAGCCCGCCTTTCAGGGCTGTGGCAAAATAGCATAGATGGGCTTCCCGTGCCAGGTGCCGGGGCCTTCGGTCGTGTGTCGGAAAGGCAACCAGCACGTGCTGTGCTCTTCGCAGGTGGCAGCTCCGAGGACGGCTTCTCGGCCATCAAGCTGACTGCGCTGGGAAGGCCCCAGTTCCTGGTAGGTCCAGCCGCATGCTGGGCGCGTCCCCCTCCAGCTGGCAGCCCTGGGCACAGGTGCACGCACAGCCGCAGAGGGGCGCGAGCCGGCCGTCTGCCCCAGCAGGACAGCTTGGCTGGAGAGCAAGTGCCACAGCAGCCAGTCGGCCTGTCCTCCAAATCCACCCGCACCCAGGCGATACCTTGGAAGCGCTCATCTGGAGCAGAGGTTTGACTGGGCCTTCTCCTCAGCGATGCAAGAAAATGCAAAGCATAGTTTTGATTTAAGACTGGACAGTATCGCTGTGCAGTCCCTACACGATTTCAAATGTTTAACTTAGAAATGCTTTGCTTATTTTTAGCTATTCTATTACTACCAAAAAGCATCAGCCCCTCAAATGTACATCACTGGGGAGGATCAGACTTTCACTTACAAAGTTACCTGTGCCTAATCTTCAGGGTTCCTTTTGAACAAAAGTTATTTTTGAAACCCCTGGCACACACACCTTTTAAAAATCCCTTTGAAAACAAACAAACAAGCAAGCAAGCAGGTCTCACTTCACCCACCACTTCTCCCCTCTTCTTGGCCCTCCGGAGCCCTTGTGACCTTGGGGGGGCCTCTTGCTCTTCTCAGAAACCACTGGACTTCCTGGGGGAGCCATGCCTTGTGCCACCTGCCTCTGGTGCCCGCAAGGAGCAACGCTTCTGCCGGGGCGCCACACCTGGGCAACACCCTCCCTGGAGCCTTCCGGCCCTCGTTTCAGACAGCCCCAGTGTTCCAGGCGGCTCGCTAACTGGAGCTTGTCTCGGATGTCTTGCCTTGAAGAAGCAGGCCGGGGAGCGCAAATGGCGCGACCCGGTTTAGACGGAGGCTGCCTCCTGGTCCCTCCCCCCACGATTTGCAGGTCGTCTGCAGCATGGCCAGAAATGCCGGGCGTGGGCCCGCGTGTCCGGAGGCCACTGGGCTGGGGAGCCGCCTTGCAAGCTGGCGTGGTCCAGTCCCGCTGGCTGCACGTGCGCCTTTCAGTGGCACCGGGGGCTGCACTCGCACTGACCCACACACTGTCCCCGTCTGCAGCTGCAGTTCTCGGAGGTGCTGGTGAAGTGGGGCCGGTTCTTCCACCTGCTGGCTGCGGAGCAGGGCAAGGCGGGCCTGGCTGCCCTGGAGACCAGGCTGGAGGTGGAGAAGCTGCAGGTGAGCCGTGCGTGGACACGGGGCGCGTGCAGGCCCTCCCGTGCCCGCCCAGTCGCCGGAGGCCGTGGCAGGGCGAGACCTGCGCCCCAAGGCCAGCCTGGCCCGTGCCAGCTCCAGAGCCCCGCCAAGGCGCCCCGGAGGCCTCCTCCCTGGGGCTGCTCACCTTCTCGCGCCCCTTCCCCTCACCGTCGCCATGGCTCTGCTCGCACGAGGGCAGAGGCGGGCCGGCGGGGGCCTGGCGAGCGGCAGGCGAGTAAGCAGGGCCGGGGTCCTCTGCTGGAGGCCCAAAGGGGCCCGGCCAGGCCTGCTCTGGTCTGCCCCAGAGGGCTTGACTGGCACAGGGGGGATCGCGGGGGAATCTGAGCCTCCTCCCAGCATGGGGAAGGGCCCTGGGCGGGACCCAGCAGAGGGGCCTGCTGGAGATGCCGCCTGCCCTGGGCGGACAGGCGATGTGACCCAGGAGGGGTCAGGCGCTTCGATTCCCGTTTCTGCATCCTGGCAAGCCCAGTTGTTCTCCGCCAAGACTGTTTCATGGATTTATGTACCACCAGATGTAGTTAAAAATATTTTGGAGCAGTTCAGAAGAAAATCCCCAGTATATTCTGCATTGAAGTACCAGTTGCATACACAAAACTGTTAAACATTTTATATAAAGCACAGTTGAAAACACTGAAATAATCTCACACAAATTCAGCAGCAGGGCAGGACACTCACTCAGGATCCCGGGTGAAGAACTGAGTTGTGATGCAGTGGATGCCTCCGGGGTCCCAGCCGGGAGCTCATTTCGGAAGGGAGGTGCGCTGTGGAGAAGGCCCACCTCCTCGCCGAAGCGAGAGCCCATCTGCTGTCAGGGTGCAGCTTGCGAGACCTGCTTCAGTCTTCCTGATTGCCCAGGCCTGTGCCCGGGGGGCTGATTGCCCAGCAGCCTGATCCCAGGCCGCTCAAGCCTTCCCGGCAGGGAGCAGGCAGCCCCGCCGTCGTGGCAGCCCAGCCTACGATGTGCCAAGCCAGGGACTCGCTCAGGCTCCAGGCTGCAGCTTCTGGGCCGCCACTAGGCGCGAGTTGCCCAGGGGAGGGAGCGTGGCTGGCCGGCAGAAAGACGAACAGGTGGGGCTCCGATCAAATGCAGCCAGAACTTGCCCCGGAAGCACGAGTGGCATAAGCGCAGCTGCCAGGCCGCTGGCACTTCCTGAGAAGACAGCCGGGCTGGCAAAAGTCAAGGGCAGAAGAATAAGGAGCACGCCAGAGGGCCCCTTCCCGCTCCGCTCCGCTCCGATTCGGGCCACCCTGGGGGCTGCAGCCTGTGCCTGAAGAGCGGAGCAAGGCTGTGCTGGGCCAGGCCGGCCGGAGGGCGGTCGCCCATCAGGCTGCCACAAGTTGCGGGTGACCTGACAACGCACGACAACAACAAATTGGAGGGAGGGGGGTTTAGATTTTTTGTCGGTGCAATTTCCCTGCACATCAAAACTGCGCATCGAATAAATAAAAAATAAAAATAAAGGACCGCAGGGTGGCAGAATCCAGCACCGACGCTCTCTGGTTGTGGCAGGAGGCGCTGGCCAAACTGGGGATCGCCACCAAAGCGGAGAGCCAGCACTGGTTCACTGGCGAGAAGCTGGGCGTGTCTGGGTAAGTGCCCGCGGGGCTAGAGAAGCCCATGGCAGAGAAGGGAGGGATGCTGCCTCCAGTAACGATGGGAGCAGGCCTCTGGTGCCCGTTGGTGGGGACCCTGTGGGAGGGGGCTGTCGTGCTCGCAGAGGTCTCCCATTTTGTTGGCCCGCCTACGAACAGAAACAGAGACCTCTGGTCTGACTCGGCCAGCTCTTCTTCTGCACGGAAGTGCGGAGATGAGTTATTTGGACCTCAGCCCCAAACCACCTCTGTGGGAAGTGAAGCAGCAACCTGCGCTTGCAAGCGGGTTGGGGAAGCTTCCTAAAATGAGAGAATGAGGGCGGGAGAAAGACTTGAGACCAGGTTCTTGCGAGTGTGGACGTGGGCCTTTGTCTAAGTGTCATGTCTTATTCTGCATTTGGAAAGTGACACAGAACTCGCAGGCAGGGAGGGCCGGGTGCAGAATTTTCTGCAGCCGAGGTTTGTGGAGCGCAGATCCTCCAAGGTGGATCTGGGCACCTTGGTGTCTGGGGTGGGAGGTCCCTGGGGGAAATTTGGATGCTTCAGCTCATCGCTGCAGCTCGCCAAGATCTCTGCCTTTTCTTTCCTGGGCCCCAGAACAGTGGACCTGCTGGACTGGAACAGCTTGATTGATGCTCGGACAGAGATCTCCAAACTCTTGCTTGTCCCGAACATGAAGGTAAATGGCTCGGTCCAGCAGGAGGGAGGCCCTGGGGCTTCATGAGGCCTTCTGATGCTGGGGCAGCCCCCCGAGGGAAAGGCCCTCCCTTGCCAGGAAAGCTGAAGGCACCGCAGTAGCTAGGGTTGTGGCTGTCTAATTCTGAGAGGCCGGCCCATTCAAGGAGACCGGGAAAATAACACCTGGCCGCTTGGACAAGCTGCAAAGCGCTTGCCGCTGAAGGAAGGACAACGGGCTTGTGGCACCAGGGAGGCGGCGCAGCATCCCGGGGCTGGAGCCCGCTTGACCAGAAGTGCTGCGACGAGGCACTGCCTCCATTTTCTGCTTCTGATAACAGGACCGCAGTTCTGGGATTCCGCAACTGTGCTTAATCTCTCGCCTCCAGAAGGGTGGGGAAGCTGCTACCACCCACTTGTGGCACTCTGGCCTGAGCATACTCTCCGCTCGCCGCGTTGCAGGCACCCTGCAGCGAGGATGGCGGTCACGCTGCCTGTGCAGCTGCCGGGGTCGATGCCTGGCAAAAGCTGCCTGGAAACCCAGAGAGCTGCTGCGGTTCCTGCAACGTGGCAGCTTGGCAGTTGGGGGCACCGGACTGCAGAAGCCTGGCCTAGACAGGATGCGCCCGACACTCCGTTGGCCTTGGCCTCGCATAAGGGTGGCATCCCATGGTCTCTGCTCACAGACTGTTTCTGGCAGGCGATGCCGGTGCGGGGAATCGCCTTTCTTCAGCACCTGAGAGCGTTGCACTCGTGGCATGGAGAAGACGAGGCACGGCCCGCCTTGTTCGCATCTAGCAGCCGCCCGCCCGTCGCATGGCACACCATTGCTGAAGGGCAACTCTGGCTGCCAGTGCCTGACCCATCTGCCCCTGGTGGCCCTCTGGCTAAATTGGTTGCCAGCAAGCAAGCGGCAGTCACGGGCCTCACCCTGGGTCCTGAAAGTGCCGTCCACAGGCCTCTGCGGTACAGCGCGAGAATGGGACCCGTCGCACGTCGCGCTGACACACGGCTTGTCTGACCGCTTGCTTCTGCCTTGCTCTGCATTTGGAAAATGGCTCGGCACTCCAAGGAGGCACGGGGCAGAATTCCCATGAGCCAAACCTGTGGAGCACAAAGCTTGCGCAAGCGACAAGCTAACTGCCTGCTTGCTTCCCTACGCACAGTCTGGCGGATGACTGAAGCAACCATGGCTCCTTGTCTCGGTTCCTGGGCTGTTCCTTCCTCCTCGAGCCATCCACAAAATGCCTTCACAGTGTAAATGGCGGCTGTGGGGCCGGGGCTGCTGTGCTTGCCTCCGACCACTGTAGCCCGGCAGCATGCCGACGAACAACCCCCAGCCGAGTTCTCTTTCCAAGTTGCCCCTTCTGACCCAGAGGCCCTTTTCCATGCCAGGACTTGCTCCCGGCTGACCCCAGGCAGGCACTGAGGGTGGGAGAGTCACCCCTTGGCAGAGGAGCATCCCGGCCCGTCTTCTGCCAGCTCCCGGAGGCCAGCCTGGAGCCCTGGGCAGCCAGGGGAGTGTCCTGCCCCCGTCCGAAGCCTGCGTGTCGCCTCTCCTTCCAGACAGGGCAGCTGGAGCCGCTGCTCGCTCACTTCACCGAGGAAGAGGAGAAGCAGATGAAGCGCATGCTGCAGCGCATGGATGTGCTGGCCAAGGTGAGGGCTGAGGGGGGTCCTCTTTCTGAGAGGCTGCAGTGGGGCAGCTGCAGGCAGAGGGCCACTGTTGAAGGAGGTGGAGGCAGAGCGAGGCGCCCACTTCAAGCAGCAGGTATGCGGGGGCAGACACGGCAGCGCTCGATGGGATGCTCGGCTGTTCGTGTGCCATGCGCCCCCACTGCCCCCAGCCCATCTGGCACACAGCGGAGTCCAGGGCAACCCTTAGTGGAGAAGCAGGCGCCCTCTGAAATCCTGTTTTTGGAAGGCCTGGCGGACCTGCCAATCGCCCTGCCTGGGGCCGGGGGAGACGCTCGCGCTCCTTCCCTGACCCCTCCGAGCTGGGGCTGGCCAGCGGTTTCGGGGACAGGCTGCCACCCTTGGCAAAGCGCAGCACGCGGCACACACGCCCCGCAGCAGGGCGCGGTGGTGCTCGGGCCACGCCGGGCCTTGCTGGGGGACACGCCTCGGGCAGTGCTGCTCGCCGTTGGCCGGGCCTCGCGGGACCTCCCCGGCTCTCCTCCCAGGCTCGGCTCAGGGGGACGGGCTGGATCCGCAGCAAGGGGCCTAGCCAGCCGGGGCAGACCTGGCACGCAGCGGGGTGCGGGAGGGCGAGCTGGGAGCGGGGGCTCGCGGGAGGGCCTCGCGGCAGGGAAGGCAGGGAAAGCCGGGCAGGGGCGGGCGTGCGCGGCTCATGGGGCGGACTGGGCAGGCTCCGCTTGCGCAGCACCGTGGAAGGAAGTCCCACTTAGTGGGGGCGGGGGCGGGGGCCGCGCACGGAGGGTGCCCTGCTGCCAAGTGCATACTGCTGTCATGCGTGCCCTCCGTTTCCGGGGAGACTTTCTCACGGGGCACAGGAAGCATTCGGGGGCCCCTCAGCTTTGAGCTTGTGCCACTGGCAGGACCCCCAAGTGGAGCCCCGTGGGTGCCACGTGGTGGAGCCGCCCCGCTTCAGTGGCTCGGGGCCTCCGTGACCTGTGCCGCCCTGTCGTTCCCAGAAAGCTGTCAGGACAGGCGTGCGGCTGATGGTGGATGCGGAGCAGACCTACTTCCAGCCGGCCATCAGCCGCCTCACCCTCGAGATGCAGCGCAAGTTCAACCGGGAGAAGGCCGCTGTCTTCAACACGTTCCAGTGCTAGCTGAGGGCACCACCCACGTGGCAC